GACTGGAGTAGCAAATTTTCAGACTATGAGAATTACAAGGTATGTTAATAAACATCCTCTACATATTTTACTGGATAGCGGAAGTACCCATAATTTCTTGGATATACAAGTTGCCAAGACATTTGGATGTCTTATAGAGGAACGTGAGCCTTTAACCGTAATAGTGGCTGATGGAAACAAAGTTACAATTGCTTCTATGGTTAGAAATTTTTCATGGCGTCTCCAACAGACAACCTTTGTTTCTGATGTGTTTTTAATACCTTTGGGCTGTTGTGATTTAGTTCTCGGAGTTGAATGGCTTGTTACTTTGGGCAACATCATATGGAACTTTTCTAATCTTACCATGGAGTTTAATGTCAATGGGAAACACCATGTCATGCAAGGAGCACATACACCACACCTCAAGACAGCATCCAAGCAACAAATGCTAAAAGCAATGGAAGGAGGTGTTCACATTTCTCTGTTGCAGCTATGTGACTCGGGAATAGATCTCTTTCACACATTAACAGTACATGCAGAATCTCCACCCATTCCTCTGCCTATTCAACAATTGCTAGTTGAATTTGAAGATATTTTTCAACTACCATCAGACTTACCACCTTTTCGTCCAGGATTTGATCATACAATTCCTCTAATTCAAGGTGTCAATCCGGTAAGTAAACGACCCTACCACTGTGCGAAGTCCCAAAAGGATGTTATTGACAACTTGGTCCAAGAATATCTTAAAACTGGCATTATACAGCACAACAACAGCCCTTATACGAGTCCAGTGGTTTTGGTGGGAAAAAATGATGGTACTTGGCGCCTATGTATGGACTATAGGGATCTAAACAAAACTACGGTTAAGAACAAATTCCTTATACCTCTCATGGATGATCTTTTGGATGAATTATATGGTTCTTCTATATTTACCAAAATCGATTTGAGAGCGGGTTATAACGAAGTCAGGATGGATCCGGGTGATATCTATAAAACAACCTTTAAAACCTATGCAGACCATTATGAATATATAGTCATGCCCTTTGGCCTCACCAACACACCATCAACCTTTCAGTCCTTGATGAATTCGGTTTTTCAACCATTTCGAAGAAAATTTATATTAGTATTTTTTTACGATATACTAGTCTACAGTAGCAACATAATAGACCACCTCACCCATTTGAGACAAGTTTTTCTTATGTTAAGGGTTCATTCATTATTTGCAAAAAAAAAAATCTAAGTGTTTTTTTTGCTGTGGATAGGGTTGAATATATTGGCCATTTTATATCTAAAGAAGGGGTATCCACAGATCCTACAAAAATTGAAGCTATATCAAATTGGCCAGTACCAAAAACAGTCAAGCATATTCGTGGATTTTTAGGTCTTGCTGGCTATTATCGACACTTTATTAAAGGATTTGGATGGTTGATTAAACCTTTGACTGATCTCCTTAAGAAGGAAGCTTTTGAGTGGACAGATTTAACAAATGACGCCTTTCAACAATTAAAGGTAGTAATGACTCAAGCCCCTGTTTTGGCTTTACCCAATTTCAATAGCCAATTTGTTGTTGAAGTTGATGCGTCTAGCTTTGGCATTGGTGTTGTTCTCATGCAGAGTCAACACCCCATTGCCTTTATCAGTAGGACCCTTAATACCCAACAACAAACTTTTTCCACATATGAAAAAGAGTTGCTTGTGGTTGTTTTTGCTGTCCAAAAATGGCATCACTATCTCCTACCAGCCAAATTTATAGTGCGTACAGAGCACTATAGTTTAAAATACATCTTGGATCAAAGGTTAACTACTGTTTTTCAGCAAAAGTGGCTAGTTAAACTTATGGAATTCAACTTCTCTATTGAACATAAACAAGGAAAAGAAAATCTGGTTGCCGATGCTTTATCAAGAATACCCACAATTGAATGCACTTCCCTGGTTTTACATCAACTACAACCAGATATGTTATAAAGAATTTCCAAAGCTTTTGAGAAAGATACAAATCTGCAGACATTGGTCCAAGAGTTACACCAAAACCCTGCTTCTCACAAACACTACACCTACAAGGATAATGTGCTACGTCGAAAAGAACATCTTGTGGTGGGTAATAATGTTGATTTACGCCAACAAATCTTACTATGGCTTCATTCTTCACCTATTGGAGGCCATTCTGGTGTTAACGCTACCATACAACGAGTCAAGGCAATCTTATATTGAAGGGTATGACTAATGACATAAAAATTTTTGTCAAGCAATGTGTGGTCTGCCAACAATCAAAGTATGAAACAGTACCATCACCTGGGTTACTACAGCCCCTACCTATATCAGGACACGTGTGGCAAGATATCTCTATGGACTTTATAGAAGGCTTACCAACTTCATTTGGCAAAAAAGTCATTTTCATGGTTGTTGATAGGCTAAGCAAAGCTGCTCACTTTATGGCTTTGCAACATCCATACACCGCAAGGGAAGTGGCTCAAACTTTTCTTGATAATATCTTCAAACTACATGGGTTTCCTCAGTCCATAACCAGTGACGGAGACCCCATTTTTATAAGCATATTTTGGAAGGAATTCATGGCTATTCATGGGGTCCAAATACAACTCTCTTCCAGCTACCACCCCCAAACCGACGGTCAGACAGAGGTGGTGAATCGGTGCTTAGAGACATACTTGAGATGTATGTGTTCGGACTCACCATCTCAATGGAGCAAATGGTTACCCCTAGTTGAATGGTGGTACAACACTAACTACCATACAACTACCAAAATTACCCCTTATGAAGTTATTTACGGCCAACCACCACCTATTTCTCTCCCATATTTACCAGGAGAATCAAAGATAGACTTAATAGACCGCAGCCTAGTTAAGAGAGAAGAAATGTTGAAAATTCTAAAATTTCATCTTCAAAGAGCTCATAATAGAATGAAGCAGAATGCTGATAAACACAGATCGGATCGACAGTTTATCATAGGTGATCTTGTTTATGTTAAATTACATCCTTACTGGCAAGTTTCAGTTGCTCAACGTGTCAACATGAAACTTTCACCCAAGTTCTATGGCCCTTTCAAAATTCTGGACAAAATTGGCACAGTAGCTTACCAGTTGGAGCTCCCGAGTTCCTCCCACATACACAATGTATTCCACGTTTCTCAATTAAAGAAACATGTGGGTCAAGCACTAGTGGCTACTACTCTACCTACTACCACACAAGATAGCACCCTTGATAAAGAACCTAACCAAATTCTAGATCGCATCACTGTTAAACGAAGGGGGTTACCGTAACTAAAGTACTGGTCCAATGGAAGCATATGCTCCCTGAAGATGCTACTTGGGAATTTTTTCATGATCTGAAACAACAGTACCCATCATTCCAACCTTGCGGACAAGGTTTTTAAGGGGATGACAATGTTATAACTTGACCAACTTATAACAGTTACGGCCTTAGTTATCAACCCTTATAAATAATTGTTGTAAACTGTATTTGAGATAGATTACAATTAATTGTATATTCTTTTCCAATCTTCCAATCTTAACATGTACTTTGGGTCCCACTATTGGGTTTTAGTTTTCTGTATTTCTCTTCCTCCTTGTTCCTGTCTTACTTTTCTCTCTCTTTCTCTCGACCTTTCGTCCGTGCTACTGGTTTATCTTCATAACATAAAATCCAGTAATTTGAGAAATGGAGTAGAGTAATTTGAGAAATGGAGTAGAGTCCTCTTAAATTTGAAAGAGTTATTTTGGGTTATGTAATTATGTGTAAAATATTAATGTAATTATGACTTTTAATGTGTAATGTTTTTCAACTAAACTGAACTATTATATCTATATATCTGATAAGTGAACAAATTATTTCCTTCCTTTAATAAAAATTTCAAATAGAATTTATGGATTATTACAAATATATATATATATATATATATATATATATATATATAAAGATTTAAAGATAACTATCATTCAAATCCATTTACTATTGTATTTTCGACAATAACATTACAAATTTGAAAATTTCTATTAACTACATCGATACTTCCTTTTTACAAATTGTCTTATATACAAATAAATTTAAATTAATAAAATATTCTTTTATTATTTATTTAGAAATGTTAGAGAAATTTCATTGTTCCTTGATTGTAACCTCATTTTTATTTGATTCTCCTTTTTAAGAGACGCTTAAATATTAAACACTCCGGTTAATATATTAGAAATAAATAATTAATCATAATGTCAATAAAATAGTTAAATTAATTTATTTTATTCAATATCATAATAAATTTAAATTTTATTTTTAAAAAATAATCGTAGAGTTAAATATTTTAACCGGTAATTATATGTACCTGTAATTACAAAATAATTTTGTCATCAATAACAGTGACTTAAGTGAAAGGGATTATATTCGAAATAAAAATTTGTTGATAATCATTTGATAAAATTTAAGTGAAAATATAAGATCCAAACTAGTACTTTTTTTATTATTATTAATTTTTCGTATATTAATTGAAGGTATTATTTTCTTAAAACGATTTACGATTCTTTTATTTATGAATATATATTGAAAGATTGTTGGATAAGGATTGTCAAAATTCATATCTACTTAAAAACTGTGGAATAAAACAAGTGAAGAGGACATGAATATTGTGGAATAATTCTTATCCTTATTATTAAGATTCTGTATCATTTATTTTTGAAATCAATATAAGCGTGTATCAGTGTTCAATTAAAAGTTAACATTACACGACGAAGAGATAAGGTTGAACCATGATGAGGGAAGGCTTGAACTATGGTGCATGGCATTCTAAATACATTTTTATAGAAAAATAATATTTAATAACAGTAGGTAGAATAATCTTGGACAATAAAGACGGAGTTTAAAACTCTTATTAGTCACCACACGTGATAATACAATGGAGATGTGGGTTCAAAGGATGAACAAATTCAGAATAAAATATGATGAGAAGATGAATTGAAAAGCAAAAAGCGAAAGCTGATGATGATATTAGTTTAGGAGGGAGTGTCCCGTACGGATCACATTCGACTTTGCGTGTAGGACCCCAAGTCCTTCGCAATCTGTCTCAGCACGAACTTCTGGATCTTCCCAGTCGATGTCTTCGGAAGCTCATCCTTGAAAACCACTGATTTCGGAACCATATACCGCGGCATCTTCTCCCTACAGTACTTTATTATGTCATTCTCGCTGGGTTTCTCTTTTATCCCCGCCTTCAGGCTCACGAACGCGCACGGCGTCTCCCCCCAATACTCATGCGGCTGAGCCACCACAGCCGCCTCCATCACCGCCGGGTGCCCGTACAAAATCGACTCCACCTCCACACTGCTCAGGTTCTCGCCGCCGCTGATAATAACATCCTTTGACCTGTCCTTAATTTCCAAGTACCCGTCCTCGTGCATCACCCCGACATCCCCAGTGTAGAACCAACCGTTTTTAAAACAACTCGCTGTTCCTTCCGGGTCTTTAAGGTATCCCAACATCACGCACCCTCCTCTCATCACAACCTCCCCGATGGAAACCCCGTCGCGCTTCACGCTCTCCCCGTTGGGACCCACCACGTCCACCTCCGCCATCCCCACCGTCCTCACCCCCTGCCGCGCCTTCAGCCGAGCCCTCTCGGTCGCCGGAAGACGGTTCCACTTCTCCTTCCACGCGCACGACACCACCAAGCCCCCAGTTTCGGTAAGCCCGTACCCGTGGCTCACCACAAATCCGAGCGCCTCTGTCCGGTGGAGCACGGCCGCTGGGGGCGGTGCTCCCGCGGTGAGGATGTGAACCGGTTTCTCCAACGGTTTATTGTCCGGGGAGTTTGTCAACATGTTGAGCACCACCGGCGCGCCGCACATGTGTGTGACGTGATGGAGTTTTATGAGCGAGTAAACAATCCCGGCGTCGAACTTGCGGACGCATATGTTGGTGCCGCCCACGGCAGCGATTCCCCACGGGAGGCTCCAGCCGTTAGCGTGGAATATCGGAAGCGTCCAGAGATAAATCGGGCTCTTCGGAACCTCCCAGTCGATAAGCGTGTCGAGAGAGACTATAAACGTCCCTCTGTGGGAGTGAACAACGCCTTTCGGAGACGACGTCGTTCCAGACGTATAGTTAAGTATCATGGGGTCCCATTCGGAGTTGGGTCGGGCCCACTCGAAGTTGGGATCGCCCTTGCTAACGAGGCCCTCATATGTGTCAACGAAATCAGCAGTGGATAAAGCGCTTGCGTTTTCGACAGTGTCGTCGGTGATGAGCACAAGGAGTGGGCGTTGAGTGTGGTGTTCAGGGAAGAGGGATAAGGCTTCAAGGATAAGGTCGCGTGAGGCACAGTCGACGAAGACGAGGGAGGAGTTCGCGTGACGGAGGATGATGGAGATGGTGCGGGCGTCGAGACGGAGGTTGATGTTGTTGAGGACAGCGCCAGCGAATGGGATTGAAAACTGGAGCTCGTACATGGCGGGGATGTTAGGGGCGAGGACAGAGACGACGGCGCCACGGCGGATGCCGAGGGAGATGAGGGCGGAGGCGAGCTGGAGGCATCGGCGGCGCGTGTGGGCCCAGGTGAAGGTTGTGTGGTTGTAGATGATGGAAGGGACGTCGCCGTAAACGGTGGCTGCTCTGTCCAAGAAACCAAGTGGTGTTAGAGGAGAAGAGTTAGCGGCGCTTGGCTGGAGTTGTTCCATTTGGTAGTCAACGGATGTGGACTGTGACGGGTAGCGCACTCACGGTGGCTATTGGCTAAAGAGATATATGGTGGGGAGAAGCTGGCTTTCCCTAGTCTTAAGTGGGATATATATATATATATATATATATATATATATATATATATATATATATATATATATATATTAATGTGTTAACTAATTATTATATATGAAATAGGATAAGGGTAAGCGATGCTTACTATGCATCTATACGAAGGGAAGGGAGGGAATATGATTTGTTGGTTCCTTTTATTTTCATTGCTATTGTCTGAATGCTTTAAGTTCTCCACTGCACAAATGTCTAAACAAAGCCACGCATTGAGACAGCATCTGGAATGGACTGGATAGGGTCGGGTCTCCATCAAATAATTAGATGCATCCGTTGTGATATCATTTTGAAACTCATGCACTATTCTTTAGGTCTCGTATCAGTTATTTTTAAGTTATATAAATTTATTTATTTAAAATTTCAAATATATTAATCAAATTTAATTTTAAATTCTGTTAAACGCATTTCATTTCACGGTTCACAGTTAATGCATTTTTCAATTTCATTACCAATTTTAAAAACACTGTTTCAGCTTTTGCCTAAACGACAAATAACTTTTAAAATAACTAACTATAGAAGATATTTTTGGTGGAATCACATGGTTTAATTATTAGGTAAAGTGTAACTAAGCCTGTGTTTGTTTGAACTGATTTATTATTCACGAAGATAGAAATGAGAGATTCAATTCGTTTGTTGCAAGTGATTTGAGAGGATTTGCAGGCGCGAATTTGAGGGAGAGGGGAGGAAAGCTCACCCTGAAGATTTGAGAGGATTTGAGAGGATAGCAGAGAAAGACACATCATCAAATAGTAAATAACTTATTTACCCTTCTCCATCTCCTGCATGAGAACACGTCTGTTGTATTATAATAGCACTTCTAATAGCGGTTAAAACTTAACCGCTATTATATAGCAATTCTAATAGCGGTTAAATCTTAACCGCTATTATATATTTTCAGATATGATCGATCATTTGAAAATGTAGTCGATCATAATCGAAAAATGTGGATGTCGCTTGAGCGATATCAGTTTCGCTCAAGCGAAAAACAACCCGAGAATAAAAATTATGTGCAGGTGTCTTCGCTCGAGCGAGTTTAATGTCGCTCAAGCGAAATACAACTTGTAATAGCGGTTAAACCATAACCGCTATCTAATATATACTTTAAATAGCGGTTACAGAGGAACCGCTATGATATCTTCCAATTATGATCGATCATTTGAAATTATGATCGATCAGGATGGTATTTCGCTCGAGCAGAGTATAATCGCTCGAGCGAAATACAACCCGAGACTCGAATCTTAAAATATTTTTTTTAATATTATGTTTTTTAATTTGTTATTAGAGAAAACCTTTCGAATTCAAAATGTTAAATTATATTTTAGAATATATATATCTATATAATTTTCTATCAAAATTATATATTCTCAAATATAATTTATTTTCATTTCTATAATATATATATAAATTTTAGTAATATTGTGGAATATATATTTTATATTACAATAATTAATATAAATTATATTTTGGAATATGTATATATATATATATATATATATATATATATAATTATACATTAAAATAAATTCAAATTCTGGAGCCTTTAGATAGCGGTTATTCCGAACCGCTATCGGATGTGAACATATGATAGCGGTTCGAGGTGAACCGCTATCTTAAGTGTCGAGGTTTTGGAAAAGTGATCGATCATTTTGGCAAAATAATCGATCATTTGAAAACTTTAGATAGCGGTTAACATATAACCGCTATCACAGGTTAATTTTAAGAGCGGTTATCTTTGTAACCGCTCTTAAAAGTGTATATATAATAGCGGTCCAGTTTAACCGCTATCTTATATATATTTGTAATAGCGGTTATTACTGGAACCGTTATCTAAAATCTTGATCATTTGACAAATTATATATTCTAAACACGATAGAAGGAGGTAAGTCATGAACAGAAGTCACGGGCTGTACATGCAGTGGTCACAGGCTGTACAGCCAACTTCACGTGTTCACAGTTGATAGAAGTTACAGGACTTATTCTTTCTTCTCTAGTTACAGCCGATAGGGAAAGTTATTGTATTATATAAAAGTTTAAAAGTTTCAAGCAAAACTGTTTTTAAAGAGAATTTTCAAATCTGCTGCATTAATTAATCTGTTGAAAGTTTGTTTTAATTTGTTGAAATAGCCGTTATAATCTGTTAAAAGTCCTTTCAACCCATTAATGCGTTCTTGTTTCTTTAACAGAATGGTTTTAGTTGATACAACCATGTTTATATCAGTTAAAACATTTTACAAACATTTTCTGAGAGTGATTCAATCGATTGATTCGCGTTTTAATCGATTGATTTGCTTAAAAACCTTCTTATAAAACTTTCCTAAGTTATTTTAGCTGATATAAAGTCGTTTTAATCGATTGAAAATCTGTACATAACTTTTCAAGTCTTTTTAATCGATTGAAAGTTCGTTTTAATCGATTGAAATAAGTCTGATCGGTCATAATTCAATTTTGATCGATCATAACCAACTCTGATCGGTCATAATTTCATTCTGATCGATCATCCTGACTTGCAAAGTGGTTTTAATCGATTAAAACGTGTTATAATTTCATTTAGTGTTATAATCATTTGTGTACTCACCCATCACATGTTAGACGACTTTTTGGCTTGCCCTCACATCTTCGTCTCTCCCAGTTGTTCATGTTCTTGAATGGAGGTGATTGAATGATCTGAACTGGAGGACTTGACTGCAAAAGATGGATAACATTATAATTATTTGTTTGAAGAGCATTAGTGTGCATAGATTTATAATTTTAGTAATCTTTCCTTTAATTATTATTCTATTTTCATCGTATTTTATATTTGTTTTAAATAATAATGTACAATTATATTATTAATTTTCATAATTATTTGTTATTATCAATCAATATTAATTATTATTTTATATTTTATAATTATTTAATTATTAGTAAAATTTATTTTTTAATATGTCAACATTATTTGAATATGGATATGCAATGTACATAATTTTGTAATTGTTTATTTATATAATTTTTAATAACTATCTAAAAAAAGTTAATTTTTTAAATTTGTTTCCAATTACAAACACTTTTAAATTTGTTTTTTCTTTTAAATATATAATCAATGTTAAAATATGGATAATTAATTAAAAAATTATATTTATAATCATTTGAACCTTATTTTATACAAAGGGTAAAATGGTAATTTTTTAAAATAATCAATTAAAATTATAATTTTTATATCTCATATCAATCAAATCATTCACAATTTCTCATAAACTTTCCTATCACTTTCCATTCATCCAAACAACTTTAACTTTATCTCCATTTCTCTTCAAATCCCTCCTTTTCCACTCTCTCATTTCCATTCTCTCAAATCACTCCAACCAAACAAAGCCTAAAAGAGTGGTTTTAACCTTTCATTTTACTCTTAGTTGTAGTAACATTTTATAACATTATATTTTACAATTTTGCTTTCACCTATATATTTAAAAGATTATGTAAACATTCTAAGGAATACAAACAGTTAAGGATAAGAAATAATCAAAGAGAGAAATATGCTTATGGAAAATATTAAATTTTGTATTTAACAACACTTAAATATTCCATGATATCTTATTATTCTCCTAACGCATATCTCCTGTATAAAAAATTATTACACCAATTCTTTAACATAATTAATATGGGATCCTATTCTTCAAAAAGAAGATCCATCTATCACAACAAAGTATTGATTTTATATAAATGTATTGTTTTCTCATGTTTATAGCAGAGTCTTGTATTATATTTTTAGACGCATCTCCCTCTAAATATGGGTTAATTTATTAAACATCATCTCGGAATCTCTACAAATGTTATAAATACTAAATTTTGTAGACTGATCTTATATCTTTACAAACTCAGTCTACAATACAAAAATAAATCTAAAACATAAAATCTAAAATCTGAGTTATGTAAATAACATATAAATTATCTGAAACAAAATACTTATTTTAAATAAGTTTGGTACAAACTAATCATCTACATATTTTTTACTTGAAACCGTGTACAACTGTTTATTTCTTAAAATATGTTCTGTTTTGTTGACCCAACTCTAAAGATTCACAGGACAGACAGTCCCTGATTCCAAATTGGATGACAGAGAGAGAAATTGTGGAGACAGAGAAGAAAGAAGGAACACGAGTGTCAATTAATGAAGCAGCTTGTGACGAATAAGATGGAGAATGGACGAAAAAGGAGTAACAAAGCATTTAAGTGAAAGAGGAAAAATTAAGTAATAATAATTTTATTATTAAAATTATGTTTATTAATTATTAGTATATTTATTATTATTATTATTATTTAAAATAATAATAATAATAATAATTTTAATAAATCAATATAATAATAATAAAAAATTAATCAATCTAATAATAAATTTATAATTGTATAATAATAGAAAAATATAATTATAATTATAATAATAAATAATAATAATTATAATACCAAATTTAGATAATTTGAAAGCAAATTATACCATTGTAGTGTTTTTGTCAAAAAGAAAGTGATTTTTTTTAATGTAAATGGGATAATTTTGCAAAAAAATATTTTTAATGTAAATGGAATACTTTTTTTTAATTATTAAAAGTGATTAAAGTTTTAAAAAATTATAAATTTAGATTAGTATAAAACAAGATAAAAAGTTCATACTTCATTACGCTTTTAAAATTAGACTTAAAACAATCGAATTAAAAAATATAACGTTAAAATCACAATTAACTTCTATTTTTATTATTTTTTAATATTATAATAATTATTATATTTAGTATTTATTAATAATATTTTTTATATATAATAATATTTATTATTAATAAAAAGAATTATATTTATTAGTATTATTAATATTTTCTATGAAATAAAATTTAGGAAAAATAATAATTAATAATAATAAATATAGTTATAATAACAATAATAATTACATTAATGAATAATAATAATAAATATAATATAATATAATATTAAAAATTACTATAATTATATTTTTACTAATAAAAAAGTTATAAATAATAGTAGTAATTATTTTTTTATTATAATAAATCATTATAATAATAATATTAAGATAATTAATAATAATTAATATTATAATAATGTTAATAATAAATATAATTATTATATACAATAATAAATGATAATACTGAAAAACAATAAATATATTAATAATATATATTTTAATATTTTGTATATTAACTTCTCTTTAAAAAAAATAATGAAATATTATTTTTTATCTTGAAATCGTAAAAACACAACTTATTTAAAATCAAATTTTTTTAAATTTTATTTATTTCAATAAATTTTAAAATATCTCTTAAAAAAACAAAAACAAAGTTACCACGTCCTTGTAACAAAATTTTATTGTTATAATAAATATTTATTATATCAAATTTTATTATAATTAATATAATAAATGTATTATATTTATAAACATTTTCAATTATAATTATTATAGTAAATTGTTATTATTTTCATTGGTGATTTTAATCTTTACATACCTTATCATGATCTAATTTAATTTGTACACATATAGTTTCTAATATATTTTAGCTTTTATCATGTAAATTCATAATAAGTGAAAAAAATAAAATAGTACATAGGAACTAAAAATGAATGGTTTTAATTCAAAATGTGTTTGACGTGAAAAATGATGAAAAAAATATGAGATTGAGCTTTAATAGCTAAAAGTTGAAAAAAATGTGGTACCTGCAGCTTCCATTTACGTCCCAGGATCTTCCCTTGTCTTTATTTTAAAAGACGTGGCATGAGATTTGTGGAAAATATTCTCCGATTCATCGTTGACTCATTCAAAACTTCATGGTTGATAGATAACTAGTATCACACTTCCGATTTACGTAAACAACAAATATTCATGCTTAGCAACCAGGATGCACCTTTAACCTTAACAATTATTTAAACTGCTAGATCTATAAAACATCGTAGAATGACTTCATTAATTACTACAGAGTCAAAGAATGTATATGATGTCAATGTTTCCTAAATTAGTTATTTCATATATAATATCCAAATGCTTCACAAATTGACAGTGTGTTTGGTATCTAAATTGGAATGTTATTGAAACAAAAGATTAAATTTCCATGTCAGAATCAGCCAAAAGGCTTAAAAAGCTGGAAATTTATGCTTTTGACTAGGTGGATAAGCTCTGACGTAAAGTAGTAGAGGTATTATAATTTACATCCAATATAACCAATCATCCACCAATTATATTAATATAATAATAAATATTATTATTATTATTGTTTGCATCGTTAAAGGAGACTTTTTCAAAGGAGTAATGGAATATGTTTAAAATTTAGTATCAAATTATTATTGTTTTTCACCATGAGATACTTGCCATCCTTCCATAACATTCCACAACGAGTCTCATTAACACTTGTTCGATCAATAGAAAATTTGTTTGTACATTGCTTCAATTATGGTTGATTCCTAGTCTGTTCAGAGAGGAATATTTCCAACAAACGTTTACGTGAGTTCCAGCTAACTTAATGCCTGAGACTGTTTAACAGTTAAAGGGTGAGAGGTTTAAGGATACCTTTCTGCTCTTAAATTCCAGACCTGAGGACTTCTTGTTGACAGTTGGTGGGATAGTAGTGTTCTATGACGCTGACTACATACATAATCAAATCATTTTTACACAAGGAAAGACATTTCTTTTAACAAAAGGAAAAACGTTCCACATTTGTGCGTAACCACAAGAAATGATTCTTTGTTTATGAAGTTGACGAAGCAACACTTTGTTTGGAAAAAAATACACTGATAATTTTAGGTCACATTCTGGGTGGACGAGATTTAGTTTTCAGCTATAATATTGAAACTAAACAAGTTTGATAAAAAAAATATATCTGAAATGATCTCACATCTTCATAACATTTTTACTTTCATGTTTAAAATCAAGAAAAATATTTATAAGTTTTTTTTTTTAGTTTTAATCTTATAATATGTAATAAAGACGTTCTCTATTATTACATTTAAATTAATTTTAAAATGACAATTTTTTAAAAAGAACTATTTTATATAATTGTCAAATGGATTAATCCAATCTACCTATTGTTTCAGATAAAAATTGATTCAATTTTCTTAATCCACATTCACATAAAGTTTAAAAGAAAAAAAAATAACAATATCAAACTAAATTTACTCGATTCAAAGGTGCAAGAACCCCTGAGAGCTAAGTTGCTGTACGAAGTGAGGGTAGGGTGGTTAGAGTAAGGAAAAGTAATTTGGGTCTGAATCATCTTGCCAGACCTGACTACTGTTAAGTTATTTAGATAACAGAAGTCAAGCCATTGGGGCAACCAATACATTCATTAATAAGGTAGCCAGACAATTTTTGCAGGTGATGTAGTATCCAAATAGCAGATTGGTTTGTGAAGAACAATGTTACATAATAGAAACTTCACAAATAAAAACAACAAATGTTGGAGGGAGTTGAATGTAACTTCACATGTATACCAGTAACCATTAACAACATAAAACATTACATATCACAGTTTTTCCTACGGACTCTAATCTTCCTTGGCGATCTCAGCTGTCCTCCCTGGTACATCTAAGCCAGTTGAAGCTATTAGCCTTTCCACTGGAACTTTCGACACATCGCGGCGTACTCCAATATCAGACATCAACCTCCCAACACAGTACATGCCAAAACCAACCAATGCCAAACCACCAAAGCTGGTGGTCATAAAACGAAGCGGTGTGGAAACTACAGTACTAGCAGCAGCTAAGTAAGATGCTGCTTGCCCACTGCGACCAACACTGATGCTTGTGGACACAAGCAGACCTGTTTTGCAGTAAATTGCAAAGTCTTCACAGTTGTTCTTGAAAATATTGTATCCACCAAACCCATTTTCGAGAAGAAATGAAGAACGATAAAGGACATCTTCAGTTGGATCAGCAGGAGCAAGAGTGCAGGTACCTCCTCGAGCTTTGGCTAGAAAAAAAGCAGGTGATACCCCATACTCAAAGATGTATAGATTACCACCAGAAAGAAAACAATCCAAACAGGAAGCGATGACACCATCGGTCCTGGTTTGGTCCCCACATCTTGGGCATGGAGTGTCAGAAGAATGAGGGGGAGATGAACTAAAAAGGAGTTTGTCCAACACAGTTCCTGTTCCAATTTCTTGACCTGCTCCTCTGGTAAAGTGGATCACCATTCCATCGCCAACAAATATTCCTGGTATTTTGCAAGAAAGCAATTGACAAAACCGAGATGACAACTTCAATACCATGCATAAATAAACAGAAATTGCAGGTCTCAGCTCAATTCAAGTTGAAGTATAAAAAAATTCAAAAAATAGAAAAAGGTTAAACCATACAACAAATCAATGAGATAGGCATCTTATTAATCTGACCTAGATGCTTATTAATCCTACAATTCTAGTGAATGGTATCCTTTCTGTCTTGAAGTTCTCTTGTACACAGAGAGCCCAAGTTTTTTTCTTACTATCCGCCAAAAAGAGTAGCACAATTGCCCATAAACAAACAATTGAGCACACACAGCCTATGCCTTCTCACCCCCCCCCCCCACAGTCATTCCTTTTAAAAAAATTAACCAGCCTAGCAAAACATTCAACCTCTTATGTGTCCTCATTGACATCCAATTTATTCCTTAGTCTCAATATTTTCGTAATTCATGCAGTTATAAGTATTCGTTTCCATATTAATCAAACATGAGATTCAATGTTGTCTTACACAAAAAGCTAAAAAAAAGTTAGATTTTTAACTCATTTCATATGTCCAATCGTAGAAGTTACATATTTCCATTGTATTTAGGGAACAACACAATAAAACTACAAAGATTGAAGATCCACCCACAACTTATCACACAAATGAATAAGTGACACAGTTCACCAACATACATCCAAGAATTGTACAATTGATTATAAAAAAGAACCATGATATATTGACAACCTTCCAAGAAAACAACTCATTTTATTAATATAATAACCATGAAAGAGATTTAATAAAAATAAAAAAAGTTAAAATTATTATTATCATATAAAATGCAGTTGTTTAATGGGTTGTTTGTGTGAATAGTGGTATCAAAATATGTTTTTCCTATAAAAAACTGAGAGTTATAACTATTAGTTTTGAGTGTACAACAACGAACAGTTAGAAAATATCCATGAAACATATCAGTACTTATTTAGTTCAAATTCCAAGTGTAGACCACATTAAAGTGGCCCTCAGAAGAAAACTAACACATGCAACAATTAATTTCATAAGAGATAACTTTCTAAACCTTAAGACACAACTGGTATTCCAAATCAGAACAGTGATAAGTGCCATCAATGACATGCAATTCCATAAAAACAAATCTACAAAGCATTCCTTAGTCATATCAACCCCATTCCTGTGCTTCTGTAAACAGAATGATTCAAACTTTGAATGTCAACACTGTACGGCTTAAATCATTGACTCCCAAATCATACTCATTCATGAATAATTGAACACAAAAGGTTGGCAGTAATTTGAGCAGTTGGCCTTGAATAAAGATCAAAACTACAAGAGTGACAGTACACCCACTTCATCACCAACCAACAGAAGGCAAGAACCAACTCTGTCCCACTAGAATTCAGGGAAATTTAAAGGTTTAAAGACACAATCATCATTGTTATCCCTTTACATCTCTAATGGCTTAATTTTTAGTCATTTTTGTTTGATTCAGGAACATCATTTGTGAATAGTAAAGCGACTAAGCTTAACTAGCCCTTCAGCAAGCTGGATTTTAAGTTTGGCAGAAGATTGCTATTAGACTGTATTAAATATTGCCAATGGCAACCCAACACAAGACACTCAGTATGTCTACAATTCAAATTGTAAACAAAATAATCCCCAATCTCACATTCATTACAGATTTCCAGGGCAACACTCAAAGATAAAAACAGTTCTAATCAACCCTAACAAACCCAAAAGAGAAGAAATACGAATTTGGCCTCGAAGTCGACGACAGCAAGGAAACGAAACACGAACCAAACTTCATTTAAAAGGGAAAACATGAAAGTCTAAAAATCTCTAATTTTTAAGCTAATACAGTGAAATCGATTAGCACCCAGAAAACATAACCCCAAAAAGATTATAATTTAAAAAAAGAAATGAAAAGGATTAGGAAGAGACCGTGGTGTGAATAGATGTAAGCTTGCCTCCAAGAGTAAATGTGATCACCGGGATTCAGCTGTTCCCGGTCGATCATATTGGAAAGCACTCCCATATTCTTTTATCTCTTTCTTTATCTTTCTCTCTCGCTCTGAATCCAAACCCAATGGAAATGGTAGGAAGAGAATCTCAGATCAAATCCTCGTCCCTGATTTGTATTGTGATGGCACTCTCTTACCACTTACGTTTCTAACTTTTTTTTTTCATTACACGTTCTCAATTTGTTTTCGTTACTTAAAGTTAATAAAATTTAGAATGCGTATAATTTTAGCTCTCGAATTTTTTTTTTTAAGAATTAAAAAATATAATTATTCATATTAAAAGAACCAATGTTATTTATTAAAGGGTGATATTTTGACACAACCTCCCATAAATCTCACTCTTATTAATATAATAATTATTAAAAGATTTAATGAAGAAAATAAAATCATTATTATAATATAAAATGCAGTTATTTATTATATAGCGATTGTTTATCATTCAACACCAGACAACTCACATAATATAATAACGATTGATTATATAGTCGTTATTATATTATATTATATTATTATATAATAAGTTGTGAACTAGCTACATTAAAATAAAAATATTTATTAAAATATATTAATATGATGCAATATGTGGGTCATATATTAATATAATTTACACGTTTATAACATATTGTAACTTATTTATTTGTGTAATACGTAAATTATATATATAATTATTTGTAAACTAGCATTAAAACAGTACACATGAGACTGTAGAAATTAAATACCATTCGACTCTTAAATATAAAATTGTTATTTTCTTCATTTAAAAAATAATGTTACATAATTATAAATTAAATATAATTGTTTTAATTTATTACTTATTTGTTATTATTTGAAATGCATGCATGTTAAATTATATTCAAAATCAACAAGATTATGAAAAAATTATATATAATGCGTTAGATTGAAGCGAAATTGGATAATATTTAATATATATAATTGCCTAAATTTTGATGACATCGATATATGAGAAATCAATGAAGGAAAGAAAGCATGATTGATGCAAATGGTTGCAATAGATTCTTCAAAAAGCATTTGGAGGTATCGAATAAATTCATTCTATGATAAGTTTACAAATTTTCCATTTTCCCCTAACCCCCGTTGATTGAGTATTCAGGAATTGGATTAATTTGATTTCTAGGAAAACAAAGTAATCCCCTCCAATTCCATATATTCTCTTATTTTACTATCATATTACTTACTAACTGAGTACTCCATTCCAGCAAACTCACGGGGATGGGGTGCAGATGCTCTGCCCTGAAAGCCATAAACAATGATGCTTAGCAATACTGATGATGGTATTCAATTACTTATTAAGGAGCTTATGCAGGACCCTCCGACATTATCTTAAAAGGAGAACCTAGAATTAAAAGGCAAACTCTTTATTGGTGTTAATTAATTCTGACGTCAAACTTATACTTCCTGTCTTCCACTTTCTTCTATTGTAAAAGGAACGAACACCTTCTCGATGTGGTGTGGGTCTACTCATTTCTCTTTTCTTCACTCTGAGACTCTAGATTGTACAAGTGCTTGTTGAGTGCCATCATAAAAGATAAAAATATGGAGCATTAGCCTTCTCTAGATTTCTTTAACAGTACAGTTTGGGCAAGGGATCAATCCATTGCTACAATAACAGTAACACTACAAGTTACAAATTGGCACACGAGTTTGTCCTAAGTTTCTCATCATATATATAAAAAAAGAGGGAGAGAGAGAATTTTGTCCTGAGAATCTCAACTTCTACGAAATAATAAACATGTTTAAAGTGAAACAGACAATACAGTATATATTGATTCAGATATGCAAGGTCGGAAAGTAGTGTTCAACAGAAGTACTAATCATGTGATGTAATAGTCTTCTTAACCGTGGGATCTGAGAGAATACATTTTAAAATTCTCTCAGTATTCAAGGGAGCCTATTGATGGAAGTCCAGAAACAATTTCATGGGAATCTGCACCAGTGCTACTCAGCCTCTGTCCTGAACTTGGACCAAGGGATTCTACGGCTTGTTCTCCCATTTTCTGGATATCTTCAGGTGAAAGTATTTTGATATACCAAACATTATTGACAAATGATCTACAAAAGGATTTGCAGGAAATCCACACACCAAAAAGTAAAAGAACAAATGTCAGCAAAACATGGACAAGTGAAATAAGTATAGCATGTTTACTTACTCAAAGGTTTGGAAATAGAATATCACTATTTATATGAATGCATTTAGTAAAACTCTATTATAATTCAAGTTGAAGTTGAACTTACTCCCACGGATCGTCTCCAAGGAGAAGAACATCGTTCTCCCTGTCGACAAATACAAGCTGCCAGCCTGATCTAAGAGGGTCTTCTAATTTTCCCTCAATACCAAACATCTGTGCCAACTCCTCCCTCAGCTCATGATAACTGCTGAACCGGGAGATGTCAAGTGAGCGCCCTACCGACCCTGACTTGTAAACCTGTTAAAGAGACAAAATTAAAAAACAATGCTTCCTTAAAAGAAGGGCTTCATTTTGCGAAAGACTAATATTTATGACTCAAACCTTGACAAATGTTCGAGTCTGGTTTTGAGGGTCAACTTGCCCTGCACTTTGCAACAACTCTGATGAATCTTGCACGCAAGGATATAGAGGAGCTTGGAATCCAGACTCCCCTAATGGCATTGCTGATGCCTCAGTATCAGCTGAAGCTGTGGTATAGCGAGGGACAGTGGTAGGGAGCAGAAGGCCAGATGAATCAATGTTGACACCAAATAGAATGGGATTTTGGGTGTCTGAGTTACAATGTGGTGGCACCATTGCGGTATCTTTTCCAGAATATTGCACATGCGGCATTGAGTTGGCAAAAGCATTGACCTGCAATGGCGTAAACTTTGGGGTCCATGACTGCTGGGGTAACTGTTCAGTCAGCATGGACTGACCACTTCTAGATAAATTCAAGAGACTGCCGCTCCCTTCAGGACATAATGAACTAAGCATATTTTGTCCTGGTGAAACCGAAGTAGGGAACTTTATGCTTGAATCTAAGAAATCTGGTTTTGAATATGATGGTGAAGGTAAACCAGAGTGTTGCCTTTGATGTAGCTGATCACTTTGAAGTAAAACCGTATCTTGATAAGCGTGTTGCTGCTGCGATTGGTCTTCACGATTATGTGATTTCTGAAGGAGATGCTGAGAGAGGTTCTCTGCCAATACTTGGGATTGTGGCTGTAGGATATTATTAGAAGATACGGATTGCTGAATTGCTTGTGGTTGCTGAAGCTGCAAAGGAGGATTGGAGTTTCCTGATTGAAGATAATTGAAAGGCTGTTGAAAATTCATCATTTGTTGTCTCACTAGATCTCCGCTCCCTAAGTTCTGCAAACCAGATGCAAACATGGCTTGGTACTGCTGATTATGATCATTTCCAAGCAACGTTGGATCCATTCTCTGCTGCATCCATGGCAACAAACCAGACCCTTGAAAATTAAGGGAATTGAGACCTTGGTCTCCAGGTCCACCCCTCAGCCACATTAGTCCACTACTCGCTTCATCTCTGCCATCTGTAACAAGATCCTTTGTAAAGAAAGGAGACAAAAAAGTGCCTCAAAACCACCATGGCCACTTATTACATCGCCGCGGGTAGGAGACACAACAGCAGATAAAATGTAGATGAAAGAAGCCAAACATGGCCACTTATTTTTTTGGACATGAAAAATGGATCACCACGAATCATAGAAACCTTGTGTAGCAAACTAGATTTAGATTTATAATCAATTGCTGGCAAACAGAACTTGTGCCTAACATCCAATTTTAATAATTTTGTTGAAAGTAAATGTCATGCATAAGGATCCTGGTTAAAGAGCTCTAAATGTACCTTAATTACTTAAAAGAGAATATCCACTACATATTTTGTGTTTTTAATAGAACAATACATTCTTTTTCTAATAAAACCCGTCTTACTTCTGTTTCCTGAACCATTGCCCTTATGTTACCATTATTAGCCTACAATAATTACATTATTGAATTATGAGAAATGAAATTGGGGGGAGAGGGATATCTGAAATTATCATCTATTGGATGGTGAGAAAGAGAAATGTGAATAAAAGTATAATTGCAAAATGTTCTCAAATTACGCCTTCACTTTATTAAAATATATATATATATATATATATATATATATATATATATATATATATATATATATATATATATATTTCATGAGTTTCATCCAATCATAGCATTAGTGTTATCATAACGTTGATTCTATAATGTACTTCACATATAAACGGAAGAGATAAGTAGTGAAAAATAGTATAGAGGCAGGCATGTACCATGAAAAGAAGAGGTGCCAGGATGCCATGGCCGTTTCAATCTGAGGGGAAACAGTGATGGATACATTGGAAATGTTGTTAAAGGCTCAATTTCCCACAATGACACTCGTGGTTGTCTCTCTCCTGCTGTTGATTCATCCCAGCCAACCTACCCATAACAAATGAAAAAACTGAGGTAAAGACAAGAAAAGATGATTCTAACAGATGCATGCACTTTAACCGTGAGAGGAAAGCTGGAGAGGCTATATCATTAGACCCCATACTCACACAACGGAACCTTGACATAGTACCAAGCCGTCTTAATAGTCCTGCATTTATAACTGTAAAGGGCCATTTTCATACAATCGCTATTCAACCATATGCACTACACTCTGAAGATTTTACCTTTACAGACCGCCAATGTGAATTTGGCCATCGAACAGGATCCAGGTCACTTATGCCAGTTATTGTGCCCATGTACCTGCAAAATGCAGGTGGCGGCTTGGGCATAAATGAAGTGAAAGCATAGGCAAAAATACAGTACCACTACCAGAGAATAGCACTTAGCAGTTGGTTTCCACTGCCATCAGATTGCAGCTGCTAACTCTTTTCTCTTAAACCCAAAATTTAGACATGTTTTAAAAAATAACTATGATTACTCCTTGCAATAATTGATGGCTAAGTTACCTTCGGACACTGGATTCTTCAGTCTCGAAAAGCATTCTAAATCGCATACCA